ATTATTACACCACCACCAACAACAACAAGAACAACGGGACAACGATGAGAGGTTTTTATAACTTTGTGCAGATGGAGATCGCAGAATTATACTCCGTCAACATACTTGAAGTTTACATAGAAATAAAATATCTGGTAGCACGTCCCATCATCATCTAGCACGGTAAGCTTGGCTTGGATTAACACGCACTTACGCATCTTCTTTTACTCTGATGTTTGGTATTTTCTAGCTACAAGTAGAAAGCAGAACGTGAACTTCGTTCTGTTTGGAAGTGTGCAGCAAAATGCATCTGCATCCCATGCTAGGAGCTGACATGCCAATAGTGAGTAGATGAAGAATAAATAAAGAACAAAATCAAATAAAGAAAACTGGATGATAGGTACTGTCTGCTGGTAACTATCTACAAGCTACACTTCTCAATTTTAGGGCTCTTAATGTTCACATGGAATAGGTGAACTGGTGAATATAGTCGCATGTCAGTTACGGTAAATGAAAAGAAATGCAAAAACAATGGAGACACCAGCTTTCATACTGAACATGTTCCAGCTTGCCTTCCTGACTCACAGTGAACAACAGCGTTCTGGAAAACACCACTTGAAAAGCCAAAAAGCAGGAAGAAATTTACTTTACTAACTCATTACCATTTGCTGAAGACGCCTAGAACGGCTTCCTCTAACTTCGCTTTCTTTCAAATTGTTGGACGGTTAGGGTAATTCTGGCCAACTACCACCAACTAGAAATGTGTAGCGCCACCGCCACAATGTGTGCATCTGTCCTTACATCCAACGACTTTTCACTAATACTTCATTGGTGATTGTCGAGTAGTTTTTTATTCTGAAGTAGACCACCAGTAACAACCTACGAATTATATTTACATTACGACATGCTCGTATACGAGCATTTTATGTATGAAATCAAGGCTAGTAAATTTTATTTTGATGTGCATCTATGAGGCATTCACTTATTTATTATTATTAAATAATCAAGGTGTCCATTTAACTGAACAGGGACTGAATTTTTGGATATTATAGCCTAGCTATTGCTATTTGCACAACGCGTGACAATGAGGACAAAGTGAGGAGGGATGAATAAATACAACTACGTAGCTGGATACAGATTTTTCCTTATTTATAATTTAGTTCAGTCCCCGATATAAATAAGCTTATACATATTCACCATTCTCCAATTTACAAATACTGGGTAGTGTCAGGTCACGAAATATCATTAACAGTTGTTAACAACCTGTATTAATACAGGTTAAATTTATGTATTTACGTCCACAAACAAACATTTGACCTGACTTCTATTATCCTCAGAAGTGGGTGTGCGTCAGCGTGGACGTGTACCTGTTTCCAGTTCTTTTCTGAAGTGTATTTTGTACCGTGTATAGCATCAAACAATCCAATATCGTTTTTACTAGCTGGTATAAACCAATCTGATTTCTTTGTGCTCGCCTCTTGATTGTGAGGTATAGGTTCCTGATCTTCAATAAACTTCTCCGTACATCGTCCCGCCACTCGACCGTCGTAGCTATGGTTGACTCCAAAAGGAGTAGCGCTGGGAGTAATCATATCGTCGTCAAAAGAAAAGAGATAACAACAATAATAGATATAAAAAGTGAAGTTTTTCCAACTAACAGATAGAAAAAGAAATAAGAAAACGTAACAACAGTCAGCCGATTAAATTTGAAGAATAATATGAATAGTATAATCATAATAAGTGTAGATAAAGTTGTCAGGAGAGTAAGACGGGAGAAAATGTAAAGAAGTAAAACGACGAACTTAGTTGTTTACCCCTGAATGGTTTATGGGATTTTAAGGGGATAGGCCATTTGGACGCAGTCCTTGTGTCACTGCATGATTGTCCAGCCTTCCCTCAAAGGCGGCCACAGACGGTGCCTGTAAGGAATTCCAGGGATGGCAAACCCGCAGTGAAAAGAAGTGGGAGCGCACCCGAGTCCTTGCCCTCTGGTGAGCTATCCTTCTGGGATTTCCACGAGGGAGCCTATGCCTACTCAATGGCAGAACACCTTTGTTTAGGGGATTCTTGTCATTTGTTATTTTCTAGGCAGTAATTAAATCCCCCCTAAGCCAACGGTAGCTAAGTGTGAATAGGTCTAGTTTCTTCAGCCTTGCATCATATGGTTTGTTTCGGAGACCAACCACTCCTTTTGTTGCCCGTCGTTGGACTCTTTCCAAGAGGTTGGCGTCTCTTCTAAGCAGTGGGGGTGCAACAATATTATGCACTTCAAGGTGTGGTCTGATGTATGTTTTGTACAACCTTAGAAAGAGCTCAGGAGTGAGTGCACCTAACTGTCTATGTGTAAAGTGTATGATTGCATATGCCCTCACTACGTCCCCCGTGTAATTTATGCTTGTGTCCATTTTTTCCGTTAGAACTAGACCTAAGTCGCGTTCCGACGTTGTGCAGGACAAGCTTTCATTGCACAGGGTGTAACTTGCATTCTGCAGTCTACAGGTGCGTAACTTCACTACTTTGCACATTTTCAGGTTGAAAGTCTTGCCATTGGCCACCGCCCAGTCTTCTATAAGGTTTAGATCTTCCTACAGCCTATCTGAGTCCTCTGGACACTTTATCGCCCTCCATATCTTTACGTCATCAGCGTATAGAAGAGTCGGTCAGCTTAGACGGCATGGTAGACCATTGACAAAAATCAAAAACATCAGTGGTCCTAGGATAGAACCCTGCGACACTCCTGATGACGAGCTGTGCCAAGATGATCGGACACGGTTGACCTTAGTGCAAAATTGCCTTTCAGCTAGGTAGTCCTTTAACCATGACAGAAGTGGCTTACCTATACCTGCCTGGCTTATTTTGTGTAGGAACGGTGTCAAATGCCTTCTCAAAGTCTAGGAAGACTACATGGACTGGAACATTGATATCCCAGCATGATGTCCAATCGTCCCAAGCTGATAGTAGGTTTGTTACACAGAATCTGCCTTTCCTGAAACCATGTTGGGCTTCATGGAGTACATTAGACCTATCGAGGTATTCCCTGATGTGATCGTCAATAATACTTTCCATTACTTTTGATACTACTGGGAGTAGAGCTACTGGTCTATAACTAGTGGCATTTTGCCTATCCCCACCCTTGAAGATCGGAGAAAGGATAACTTTTCCACTCCCTTGGCAGTTTCCCCAAATCCACTGACTGTCGGGACAAGTCACATAAGGGCCTACAGAGAGCTTCGGCGCACTGTTTCAGAACAGATGCCCTGATGTCGTCACAACCTGGGGACTTCCCAGGTGAGTCGCTGTAGCTTCCTTAGTACTACTGCCGGGTTTATTTGGGGAGTAGCCACTAGGTCTTCCTCCTGTGAAATAGTAGTTCCACCATTTTGGTCCGTAACTGTAATACCCACATTGCTGTTTAGCTGTTTGGCGAAGGCTGAACTGAATGTTTCAGCCATCTCCAGACTAGTGAGATATTGACCGTTTGGGCCTACTAAGGCGCATGCCCCCTGGTTTGTTGGTTTTCTTTCCGACATGAATCGATACAAGTTTTTGGGGTTTGCTAGGAGTTTTTTTGGCAAGGTTAGCCTGGAATGACCTCCTGTCACTCCTGACTCTCGTGTTGCACCGGTTCCTGAGTTCCAGGTATGCGTCGTGGTCGATCTGACTCTTAGATACGCGCCACGTAAACCAAGCCTTCCGCTTTGCTTGCAGAATACGTTGCGTGCCTCTCTTCAACCATGATGACATTCTTTTGGGCTGTGTTGTGACTAGAGGGACGGTATCCGAGATTCCTGTATGAATAATCTTTTTTACCACTTCCCACTGTTCATCCACAGATAGCTCATCCCATGCTAAGGGCCAGTCTGCTTCGGACAAGAGCCTCCGCATTTCAGCATAGTCCGCCTTGCTATAACACAGACATGATCGCGTAACGTCCCACTGCAAATGCTCACGGAGAACGAGATCGAAACCTATGACTGCATAGTCACTGCTTCCTACAGAAGTCATGATCTGGACCTTTTCGACTAGCAGTTGGTCACTAGTTAGAATGTAGTCTAGTTTTGATGACTTTCCACTAGGGCCCCACCTAGTGTCGTCTCCAACATTCTCAGTCAGTCCCGTGTTTCGAATAGTTTGCAGTAGGTTTCGGCCAAATTTTCCCTTAGCACACCCGGAGCCGAGGTTCAGTGATGGAGCATTGAAATCTCCAGCTATGGTGATTTGGTCGTAGCCCAAATCTCGTATCCCTGTGATAGTGCTGAGCAGTAGCTGATTGTGCTCTGCCCCACAAGTGGGAGATCGGTAGATGCCACCCAGTAAGTGCTTGGTGTGGCCTACGGTGGAATGACCGCGAATGGAATCTGTGAGTTCAACGGACGCACCACTTATTGAACTCCCAAACTCCATATGGTGTCATTTCACCGTAGGCCACACCAAGCACTTACTGGGTGGCATCTACCGATCTCCCAACTTTATTTAATGGAAATCTCGTAGGACACTTCACGAAGTAACTCCGTTAGAAACTTCTTTTCCATATATTTCCAACTTCTAAACATGCCTCAACACACTTCTCGCTAACATTTCTCTGTGTTATGTCCACAACCAAACATTCGACCTGACTTTGATTTTCCTCAGAAGTTGGTGTGCGTCAATCTGGACGTGTAGCTGTCTCCACTTCTTTTCTGAAGTGTATTTTGCACCTTGTATAGCATCAAAGAATGCTAATGGACGTCATATTATTATTCTTTACTTTGCAGGATGTCAGTCATGAATATAGGAATATTTGAAGGAAATTGAGAGCATGAAATAAATTTACATACTTCGGACGTCGTAGAGATCGTTGCTTCTGGTGATTAATCACCTTAATTACGTTACATAATAAATTCCCTTCCTAGATGAGATTATTCCCACCTCTACTTCTCCAAATAATAGGGGATTAGTCAAAAAAACTGAATCAGTATATATAACACATAAGAGATGAAATCCGACATTTTGTGGGAGTAAAGGTTATGGAAACTTCTCACCATGAGACAAAAATTGAAATCCCGCTTTTCACAGGAACCTTGTCAACTGAATAGTATGGCTTAGAATAACTTGATTTTGCTGAATTGCATGACTGAAAGACATATGTCAATTTCAGTGAATGTACTAGTAAAAACTAAGTTGGTATCATTATACTAGCTTGTTCCAATAACCTATATCCTCCTATGGGGCTTGTGTTAAACAATTAGTTTGCTTGCTATCTCTCTTCTTATTGTTATGGAGTGGCCCTAGAATTCTGGGTGAGCGTTTCCGAAACCTGCAACTTCTCCGACATATTTGGAGTCCTCAAAAATAAACTTATCCAAATTTTACTACTATGTAAATAATGAACATATTGTACACTACTTTGTTTTAACCATAAACTCTGTACTTTGAACTTTACCTCGGGTTTTGAATAAATATATAGTTCTGCCTTCGACTCTCCGTCTTCTCCACCATCTCAACTGCCGTCGATCAATCCTAATCACCTGCTTTCTATCTCAAATTTTTGCAGGAGCACCGTAGTTTCTTCCTACGTACTTTGGTCGACCTCCGGCAACGTCAACATTGGAGAATTAGTACTGGAGCAGTCTTTCCGCAGCACCTGGAGTCTATAACGTTTATTGTGGACTTTGGATCTTTGTAAACTCAAGTAATCAAACTTTAATACATTCTTCCCGTAACTAAACTCATTTGGTATTTTATTTTCTACTTGAATTTGGGTAACTAAGCTAACAGAGTAAAAGGTCCACCACAATAATTGGTGAGCCCGTTTCGAACCTTTTTTTATGGTTAACCCGTTTTCGAACCTTTTTGTTTCGATAGTTAACTCGTTTTGAACATTTTTGTTGCTATTTTGTCCTTATAAACTCGCACTGCTTTAATTTTTGTTACCACAAGTTTTTCTATTTTGTATATCTCTATACTTATATATTATATGACAATGGCTCCACCTAAACGTACCACTGTTGCTGAAGAAGGTAATAAAGGCGAAGAGACACAGAACTCTGCTGTTAACGCCTTGCCGGATTTAAGACTACCTCAATTTGATCTGGCTGAACCACGTGTCTGGTTCACAATCATTGAACAGTTGTTTGCAGCTCGAGGTATTACGTCGCAGATCGCCATGTATGGTTGCGTATTAGCAGCAATTCCCACGGAAGTACTACGAGAGGTTATCGATGTCATAGACAGCAAACCTACAGACTCTCAATATGACAAACTAAAAGCTGCACTCATCCAGCGGACCACTCTCTCCGATGAGAAACGCATACAACAACTACTTACTTCGTGTGATCTAGGTACAAAAAAGCCATCTCAACTACTTAGACATATGCGCCAGTTGATTGGGTCACACAAAGTAGATGAGTTAATTCTACGTCAGATGTTCTTACAACGTTTACCACAAAATGTTCAACAAATCCTAACAATATCTTCTAGGACGACAGACCTTGAAGAATTAGCTAAAATGGCAGACGATATCATGGATGTGTTATCAAATAATGGCATAAATAGCGTGTCTACAGAGGCAGTACCACCAAGCCCTTCCACATCTATGAAGGACGCACCAATGTTTTGGTTACTTTCCCAGTTAACATCTCAAATGCAAGATTTACGACTGGAAGTGTCCGAGCTTCGAGCACAAAGGAACCAGTCACATACGGTATCCAAGCAACGGCGATCAAGATCTAGACGACGTTCTAGAACACCGTCTCAAAGCCGTAACATTTGTTGGTATCATAGGAGGTATGGGCATAATGCCCTGAAGTGTATTCGACCGTGTATGTACAACAGTAGTAACTCATCTCAGGGAAACTCCCCAGCCAGACAGTAATGGCGACGGCTGTTAATGGCAATCACCCCAGTCGCCTTTTCTATGTGAGGGATTTGACTACCGGCACATTATTCCTGGTAGATACAGGCGCCGAGGTCAGTGTTATTCCCCCCTCACTATCCAGGCGATCAGCCAAAATACCTGGAAAACTTTCACTTCGTGCTGCCAACCAAACCAACATACAGACGTATGGCGAACAGTCAATGATTTTAAATTTAGGACTACGCCGACGTTTCACATGGATCTTCATAGTAGCTGACGTACGTCACGCTATACTAGGTGCAGACTTCCTAAGTCACTTCAATCTGTTAGTTGATATCAGCAAGAAAAAACTGGTTGACAATTGCACCCAACTCAAGATCCACGGTATTACATGTGACTACTCTGTTCATAGCATCTGTATAGAAAAGCCGGAGAGTGAAATGTTCTCTGCTTTATTGCAACGATTTCCTAAAATCCTTAAACCATCATACAACGTCGAAGATATATCTCATACAGTTACGCATAAGATCATCACAACAGGACAACCTGTGAAGGCACGTCCACGACGGTTACCACCCGATAAACTAGCAGCAGCTAAGTCGGAATTCGAACATATGATGCAGCTAGGTATCATACGACCATCTAACAGCCCATGGTCTTCACCTTTGCACATGGTACCTAAAACTAATCATGACTGGCGACCATGTGGAGATTATCGCGCTTTGAATAACGCTACGGTCCCAGATCGTTATCCTATACCTCATCTCCACGACTTCTCCTTGACCTTACATGGAAAGACCGTTTTTACTAAAGTTGACTTGGTCAGGGCATATCATCAAATACCAGTCGCTCCAGAAGACATTGCAAAAACAGCAATTATCACGCCTTTTGGATTATTCGAATTCTTGAGAATGCCTTTCGGACTAAAGAATGCTGCTCAAACATTTCAGCGTTTTATGGACCAAGTTACCCAAGGTCTTGATTTCGTCTTTGTATATATCGACGATGTCTTAATTGCCAGCTCATCGATGGAAGAACATATGCAACACTTAAGCCTGTTATTTCAAAGGTTTGAACAATTTGGAGTTGTTATCAATCCAAAGAAATGTATTTTTGGTTCCCCTTCCATTGAATTCTTAGGACATCGAATAACTGCCGAAGGCATCAGACCTACCGAAGATAAGATAAAAACTATTAAGAACTTTCCCGAACCTGATTCCTTAAAGAAACTTAGACGTTTTCTCGGGATGTTCAACTTCTACCGACGTTTTATTCCATCATGTGCCTCCATAGTTCAGCCACTGACCGACCTACTTAGATGCAATTCGAAGAAATTTCAGTGGTCTGAAGAAGCAAAAGCAGCATTTAATAATGCAAAAGATGCCTTATCCAACGTTTTAATGTTATCTCACATCAACCCAGAAGCTTCACTCATTTTATGTACAGATGCATCGCAGGTAGCAGTGGGAGCAGTTTTACAACAAAAGTTCAATAATGACATCACTCCACTTGCTTTCTTCTCCAAGAAGTTGGAACCTGCGCAAACTCGTTACAGTACCTTTGGCAGAGAACTGTTAGCCATCTACCTAGCAGTGAAACATTTCAGCTTCTTACTACAAGGTCGACATTTTACTATCTTAACCGACCATAAGCCTCTTTGTTATGCTTTCACCACTTCGTTGGACAGACACTCTCCGAGAGAAGCCAGACAACTGGATTACATCTCACAATTCTCAACAGACATCCAGTTCATCAAAGGAGATTCTAATATCGTAGCCGATTCTTTGTCTCGATGTGACGTTAATCACCTATCTTCGATAGATATTAGCTTAGACAATATTGCCAAGCTGCAGAAAAATGACGCCGAACTCCATACTTGTAGACGAAACTCCTCCCTACAGTTGCAGGATGTACCTATTCCCCTGTCTGATACAACTATCGTCTGCGACGTTTCAACGGGCGTTCATAGACCTTTTGTTCCACTAAGTTGTCGAAAAACTTTGTTTGAACATCTACATTCATTGTCTCATCCTGGAGTGCGTGCTACAGTCAAGTTGATCAGCGAGCGTTTTGTTTGGCCCAAGATGAACTCCGATATTCGGAAATGGGCCCGCCAATGCTTGCAATGTCAAAGATCCAAGGTACATCATCATACCGTCACACCTCCAAAACAGTTCAATTTACCGATAAACGATTTCAACACGTTCATATAGATGTTGTTGGACCATTACCGCCATCCAGAGGATTTACTCATATACTTACTGCGATTGATCGATTTACCCGATGGGCTATTGCTTGTCCACTCAACGATATATCTGCAGAAAATATCGCTTTGGTTTTCTTAGATCGCTGGGTGTCAAACTACGGAGTACCCACAACTATTACAACAGACCGAGGAGCTCAATTTCAATCAACTCTGTTTCGAGAGTTTACGAGACTCCTTGGAGTGAACCATATCTCCACTACAGCTTATCATCCTGCAGCGAATGGTCTGGTGGAACGTTTCCATCGACAACTGAAAAGCTCGCTTATGGCACAAGCTGACTCATCTAAGTGGAGTGAACACCTACCATTAGTTCTTCTCAGTATCCGATCAACTGTAAAAGAAGATTTGGGATGTACACCAGCTCAACTTGTGTATGGTACTACCCTCACATTGCCTGGTCAGTTAGTTCCGTCTAATGATTCAACTGAAGTAAATATCTCCGACTTCACCAACCGCCTTACCCAGCAAATGCTCCAGCCCCTCGCCAATCACTTCAGAAAGCTCAAGTTAATAAGAATCTACTCACTAGCAAATTTGTATTTGTTCGCGTCGATGCCATTAGAAAAGGTTTACAACATCCATATGAAGGTCCTTTTCTAGTACTTAAACGCACCGATAAATACTTCACGCTGAACAAACATGGTAAACCGGAGACTGTTTCTATCGACCGTCTTAAACCAGCGTACACCGACAGCGAACATGAAACACTAGCAACGCCGACACCAATAAACAATCAGAAAGTCAATGCAACTCCAACTCTCCCGCTCTTCACTCTTCCCCCTGTACAGACACGCAGTGGACGGCAGATCTGTAAACCTGCCCGCTATGTTCATTTCATTGACTGACATAAACGTTAACCTCATTTAGACATTCTTCTCATTACTATTGTTGTCGACATTCATTTCATTATAACCATAAATATT